ACTTTTCCTATCATAGTCAATTAAAACCCCAACTATTATATACCATTCGATAGAGAATTTCAAGAACTACAAAATGATATATAAAACATAAAGAAACAAGAACGTTGACTAACCTATCACACAGATAATTAATGAGAACTAGGTTATATTTTGGTCCACGATCTAATTGATCCACAAATAGAGCTTTATCTTCCGGTCACACTGATGATACTTCGAGGTTTTCAGATATGGAGAACTCGAATGTGTACTGCATTTCCATCGAAATACTATTAGTTGTGCAGTGACCAATAGAAATGAAGTTATAGGAAAAACGACTTTCTTAGGGTAAATCAAGGTGCAGAGTTCAAACTTGAGCTGTATTCGGTCCCGTGTCGTATTGGTTTGGCAACGCGCAATATAAATCAACATTTTAAATGGTAGATTTCACAGTATAATTTTGATATTCAGACAGGCTAGGATGATTGATTTTTATGATTCACTTTTTGAAGTACACATAACTCTCGGATTTAAATCCGAAGTTTCCGCATTTATTTGAAAAAAAAACAAAAATCTATAATTTAAGATAATAAAGAAAAATGAATTCAGGTGAATACTAGATGTGAAAGAATCTTTTTTTAGAGTTTACAAGAGCAAACTTGTTTTTTTAAATGAATATTGATGTAATTTTAAATTTTTTGTATAATTTTATTGATTTAAAGGGTGTGGGTAGTACGAAAAAGAAGGGACACCATCATCCACACCCACCCATATCCACACCAACACCTACACCCACACCCACAACCACACCCACACCCACACCCATACCCACATCCACACCCACTTCCACACCCACCCCACATCCTCACCCACTTTATGATTCTACGGTTGGCAGCTGGAGCCGCGTGACGATTACAAACCCGTTACTAGCTACCTGGCAACGTAACGGCAATTTTCCACCGCTATCCATATCCTTTGAGTTCCCGACTACGGGGAACTTAGCCAGATCTCCTCTTGCAAAAACCGAGAAAGGTCAGTAATAGCATGGAAAAGCATTGGGGAAAAGCATAGGGAAAAGTCACGTTTTTTGCGTTAATTCAGCAATGACTCGACGAATCATTCTCACCTTCGCACTCGACCGAGACAGTGGTGAGACGAGACTTTGTGGAAAATTTCATCAAGATTCCACTCTCCTTTCAAAAGTTATCGTGCAAGCAGCTGGCTGGCCACACACACTGACGGATTCTACAGTGTACTCATTTTTTGAATAAACACGAAGTTTTTTCCAAAAGAGTTTATTTTTGGAATGCAAAACAGATGTATGAGTCAGTCTATGTAAATCATGGGCGAATTTACTCAGTTGAGATCGTCAGACATTGTTCAATTTGAGGTATATTGTAGAGGAAAGAGTTCTTAGAATTTTGGCGCAGGTCGTTTTGAAATTTAAAGATAGTTCAATATTTTATGAGCATTTTACGAAAAGACCTAAAGTGACAACATACACCAATGGGGTCCTTATGCGACCATATCTCAAGAATGGCTCAACCGATTGAGCTGAAATTTGATATAAATACATATCTTAGTGAGTCTTGTTGACTACAAAAGTTTTGTTTCAAAATATTGAGCGGTTAGGATTTTATGAATCATTGAATAAGTAGAAAAAGAATCATTTTTGGAAAATTTGGTGCTTCATAACTTTTGATTGGAATGTAATATAGATCAGCATTGTTCATTATAGATAGAATAGAAGATGATGTATTTCTCCTTAAAGTTTCAACCTTCTATATGATTCAGTTTGATCATAGGAGTGCTCTCAAAATTAGGATACCGATAGAAATGTAGATTTTCAGAACAAGCGATCTCCGAGGAAATGAATGATTATAGGAGCTTGATCTTTAGAAGCTTGAAATATTCGCTCTGAACTACAACTCTATAGAAAAATTAACGTAAGGTCTCCAGACGTGTCCCTGGGAGATTGATTGAAAAATGCCAAAAAATGAAACCTTTTCTATAGGAAATGTACGAAGTTTGCATGAAATTACTTCAAGAGTTTCATCATATGTGATAAATTCAACGCAGTAAAAATCTTCATTTGATCTTCTATTATCCTCCATAATAATAGCCTTTAAAAAAGAAAAAAACTTTTTTCGAAAAATCTACGTACTTTCCTCGAAGTCTATATTAAGAATATGTGTCTACAGAGGTCTATACCCCTCTACGATGATTTTTCGAAAATCTGTTTTTTCCTTCCTAAACTATATTTGTATGCGGGATAATAGTGGATCAAATGCTGATTTTTACTAGGTAGAATTTATCTCACATGCTAAAAGTCTTACAGTAATTTCGAAGCAAACTTAATATATAGTTTCAATGAGAAAGGACTCATTTTTTGGCATTTTTCAATTAATCTTTGAGGACTATTTCTAGAAATTACATGCTAATTTTTTCTTAACTTTGTAGTGCCCAGTGTGCGCTTTTCATTTAGCACGACCCAGATTTCTGCAGAAGCCATTTACTAGAAAGTCCATCTATGGTAAAATCGTGATTTTGTTGACATGTATGATTTTTCTGAAAGATCTTCGGAGGAATAGGAGCTGGTTGTAGAGTTAAATTTTTCAGCAGAGAAATTTTTCAATGAGCCTTCTAGAGAACTAAAATCGTAGCTTCCTAACATGATCTGTTCATGAGAATAATATGGTGGGATTGGCTTACATGACTAGCTCGAGGTTGTTAAAGCTGACCTTCGGTGTAAGATGACTCTGGAGATCCGACGCTAATTTCTCCATAGAATTATAGCGCATAGAGAATACTTCAAACTTCTAAAGATCAGCTCCTATAACCAACGGTTTCTTGGGAGATAGCCTGTTCTGAAAACCCGTATTTCTATCAGAATCCCAATTTTGAGAGCACTCCTCTGACCCAATTGAACGATATAGAGGACTCAAACTTGGAGGAAGGATACACCGTTTTATATTCTTTCCACAATAGAAATTTCAGATCTCTATGGCATTTTAATCAAAAGTTATGAAGCACCAAACAAATGATTCTTTTTCTACTTATTGAATGGTTCATAAAATCTCAGTCACTTAATATTTCAGTAGTGTCAAGCTTGAAACTTGAATTCAATTGAATTGTAAGTTTCAACTGAAATTTCAAATTTCGAGTTTCAAATTTCAAGTCTCAAGTTTAAAGTTGAAACTTGGAATTTCAATTGACTTCAAGTTCCAAGTTTGACATATATGAAGATCTGCGGCCAAAATTCATAGAACTCTTTCCTCTAGAATCTGCCTGAAGTTGAGGAAAATCTGACGACCTCGACTGAGCAGCGTCTCTGCGAATTAGCCATGGCTTATATGGACAAACTTTTATTGAGAAAAATTAAATTTTTATGAAAACAGTTGATTTGTTGTGAAAAAAAAATTAGGGAATAAGGGAAAGTGAAAATTTTGGATATTTTTATTTGCGATTCGGATAAGCTTTCCGTGAATTCTACACAAGTTTTGTAAATAACCTAGATATAATTTCAGAAAATAAAATAGAGAAATCAAACCACTCTCTCTAAAAAGTGCATATGTCGCTTTTAGTTTCATTTAAATGCATTCACTTGCTAACACTAGATGCTTACATTGTAAAAACAACGAAGCAGTCGTGCATTTTGCACGGGGTACCGATAGTATAATGTAAAGCAACCAGCCAGCTTCCAATAAAAATAATTTTTACCAAGATTTTTTATTCTAATATTGAGTGAAGATTGATCGAATATCTTAGAAAGATACAGCGAAAGCGCTCTATCTATTCATAAACAAGAAAATTATTTTACTTCATATAAGGAAATAAGACCTTGACGACAGTAGTTTTGAATTGCTCTAATTATCTGCATCAAGTCGTGATGGCGAGAAATTCCATATAGTCATAACTTCTACTGAAAAATAAATGTGAGTAATGGAATACTAATTGGAGGAAAAATCGGAATGTTAGCAGGCTTAGATACCAATCATTTCGAATTGACATAAAAATAACTTTATGTTTTAGAAATACTTCCTGATACGGGTATCAATGTCAGTCTAACTATGTGCCTGAGTAGGTTTATCNAGAAAATCGTACTAATAAATGTTTGCACACAACAACGAAAATCTTTCTTATAAGTAACAGCGATCCATAGAAAATCAAAATTAAAAATTTTGAAAAAAAATAGCCTAACGGGGGAACAGATCTAACGGTCGGATGCCATTCAGCTTCATGGCTTGTCCATTGCCACCAGCTACAATAGTTCGATTCTTGCGTCCTATTTGATATTGTATTACTTCATCTTTGGCAGTGTCCGAGATGTAGAGATATCCCCGATCATCCGTCGTCAATTCAGCACCATAGATATTGTCGAGGAGAATTTCTCCTTGAGTTGTACCACTTCGACGAGACCATCGTACGACTCGTCGATTCTCTCGATCGCAAATAATTAGACTATCTGTCTCTTTGTCGATCAACACATCGGTTGGACCATTCAATTGATCCAATCGATTTCCTAGGCCATGGCCACCAGCCACCACTTGTCCATTCTTATCACCTATCTTCCATTGGATGATACGATGATTGTAGTAGTCAGCAATGACCATTGTTTGATCATCGTCAACGAAGAGACCCATAGGGGAGTTGAGTTGATTGGTGGTGTCGCCTTGTCCATGGCCTCCAGCAACAATCACCCCATTCTGTGCCCATCGGGCATTTGCTGGAATATTGGGAATCGCTACAATGAAAGAGGAAAAGAAAATGAATCATCTTTGTCGTTGCCTATGAATAAGGCATTCTTCATCTTTGAAGAGAACTCGGTAAAACTTTCGAGAATGTTCTTCCCTAACATACTTCAAACAAGAAAAAGATTCTCCGTATTTGTCGTGACTTGTTAAAGTTCTTGAAAGATTTGCGTTTACTCAATAAAACAAAGAACTTTGCCAAATTGTTAAGCTGAAGAAATACTAAGAAGATTATATCTGTATGTTGGTAGAACTAAGGGTTCAACATCCATCTTTCTAAATATCTTTCAGGTAGTTCTCAGGTCAATAGTCAAGCCATGAAGCTGAATGGCATCCGACCGTTAGATCTGTTCCCCCGTTAGGCTATTTTTTTTCAAAATTTTTAATTTTGATTTTCTATGGATCGCTGTTACTTATAAGAAAGATTTTCGTTGTTGTGTGCAAACATTTATTAGTACGATTTTCTAAAAAATCATCCTTGTTACTTCTATTCGTGAGAGGATAGTGGTCGCCGGATCGCCGAGCTGCTGGATGATCTATCAATATAGCAGTCAGCATGATTGATTGATTTTCAAGATGATAAAAATACAAACGTAGTTAATTTTCTATTTTATCATAATTAGACTGATCTTTTTTTCTTCAAACAATGTTAAACCATCATAATGCAATAAGAATAAGAGAAATAAAAGCATCTTGAAAATCTCCATGATAGCTCAAGTGTTAGAAACATGAAAGCAAAGAACCTATAACGATAACTACTCTACATCGTAAATATGTAGATCAAAATCTTATTTTGAACTGTGAGAAAAATACACATGATTCTGCATTTAAATGCGATGAATTGCTTTGGAAAGAACGAGAAAAAAACGAGTGATTGTTGAACATATTAAAACCTCTCCAGAAAAAATACAAGCTTTTAAAAGTTTTGTCTGACTGGTTTGTTACCATCTTATAACAAATAGCTCACTAGCTTGATGTTCATTTGAAAGAAAAATTACAGAAATTGTTTATCAGACCTATGATTTCAATGGAATAATATTCATCATATTTGCTGACTATGATTGCAGTTTTTATCAAGCATCATAAACTGATTAAAAAGAAAATGTTATACTTATTTGAATTTGAAAGACAATGAGGTCAAGAAAACTTGTATGATATAGAAAGCACCAACGTACTTTCTGAGCTTGTATTAATAGAAAATTTTCTAAATTTCTCTAGTTTTTGTGAGACAAGAAAAAACTAAACGTTTTTTTTTCGGATTGTTCAACTTCAATCTACAAAGATATTGGAGAAAATTGAAGTTTTCCTGATTATAGCAATAAAAGAGGTTGCAATTAACAGTCTTAATCATCATCATTCAATATCAGAGTAAAACAAATGTTGTAGTCAATAACAGTCCAAAAACTACATCAGAAGATACAACTATGTCTTTAGTTCATCAGGAGTGCATTTTTCCTGAATAAAGTTTTTAAGTTGTAATATTTCCTATCAAACGCAGGTTTTTGTTTTTGATTTCAAACATATAACTAGGATAAAAAAAAACACGACGCAACATCCCAATTCATTTTTAACAGGTTCATATAGTTTTGTAATGGAAATTTCAAACAAAGTCGTACAAAACAAGTGGCATAGATATATTTCCAGTTCAATGCTCAATGTTTCTAATGAAAGACAATACTAAGTCGAAACTCTTCTCATAAAAGAAAGACCTACATTTACAAAAATACCTATTGATATATGCTTGTTTTCGTAGAAATCAAAATGCATCTCTTACTTCGAGTAGATAGCTAAACTTATCCGGTAGTTGAACGATCCTTCCTTAAAATTTATGATAAAATTATTTCGTCTGTCACACGATCTATATAAATAGTATAGGGGGTGTACGGGATTCCTATCAATTAGAGATTGGTATAAGACATCAATTCATTTTCATTCCAATAATCAACAGGGAAGTTCAATAAAATTATTTTTATGAAATGAAATATGATATTTAAATACGTTTGCGATTTCATGTATGTTGAGCGTGGATTTGATGAATAAGCGACTGTGCCCTACACTAGTGTCCGATGGAGAGTAAACGAAAATTAACCATCTTGTCAACTATATTTTTTATTTCATGGACTTGAATAAACTATTGGTTTTATCATTCAAAATGACAAATTTTGTTGTATTTTTCATGTCAAAGTCATGAACGTGATAAACTTCTGCTCATTATTAGACGCTATGGTATGGTATTCATCATCAACCAATGATAGAATAGTTACAAAATTGATATACTATTCGTGATTTATAGTCGATGTTCAACCAGATGATAAGTTTCTCATAAACTTTATCAAAGAAACGGAGTCCTTGCGTTCTAATTTTCAAACAAAATTTTTACATGATTTGTGCGAGCTATTTCGATAGATATGCAGAGAAATAAAAACTTCCTTTTGAGGTTACCAATGCCACAAATGTTTTTAAAAAATATATGGACAGATAGATAATAGTAAAGTAATGAAAAAGTCAAATTTCCGAGTTTCGAAATCGGATGGTGGGATTTAATCGTCGGTGATAACGATATGCTAGATAGTCTAAGAATAAATATATGCTCTGAGTCAATTGCGACATTGACTAAGCGATATGTTTTTATGAATATTACTGTCAATTTTCATCGATAATGAAGATATTTCTTTTACAGTTCTTAAAAATTTAATTGTCAATATCATTGACTGAAAAACAAAGAAAGAAATACTGCTATTCTAATATTTGAATGTGTTGTTCTGATACTTGTACATTTTCATGCATATATCGTACATACAATTATCACATTAGCTTAGTCAAACTCTTTTTTTTTCAAGAAGAAAACAACGTTTCATTACTAAATTGTACATTCATTCTAGCATACTCAATTTAAATATCTATTACATATAGTGAGTAGTACGTACATGAAATCTTGGTCGAGCCAAATACTAAAGTGAACAGTTAACTTAGATAACTACCCTCGAAACAAAATGAACTTTTCTTTTCTTCTTCAGGTAAATATTTTTTCCTGTTGCAACGACTAAGGACAAACATACCTTGAACGCCTTCCTCATAAACTGTTTGAAGGGTGTCGAAAACAATATATATACATAAACATTTGAATTCTACCTTAGTAATTTGAAATTATCAGTGCAATAGCATTCATCTTCTTCATAGATAACATATCATACTTACATTCAATAAACTTCTCTATATGTTTCTCTCATGAAGCATGGAGTTTTCAGAGAAAAAAAAACCTTTTTTTAACTTTTGCCGATCTAATATTAACATTAGAAAATATATAATACGTTAGTTTTTAGTAATAGAACTCCCATGTCCTCAAAATCGCCACAAAATCGACGATGTTATCGCGAATAATCACCCGATTAATCGTGAGATTATATCGCGATATATCGTCAAAACTGACGATTTTTTTGCACTTTTTGCAACAAAATTAACATTCATAAAAAACAACAGGACTTTTATGAAATAGGTAGATGATATTAGACTGATATTGCAAGGTCCTCCTCGACTCCGTTTTCTTCATGTTTCTTGTTCCAAAGTAAGAACCAAATTGAACGGTAACAAATATAATCTATAGAAAAAGAGAAATAAGACAACCAAAGAGGTTCACCAGGAAGAAAAATAGAGCTGCTGATATAGTGAGACGAAAAGATAAATGATGTCATGCGATTTTCCATAATATTAGCGATGTGAAGATTTAAGTGAAAATCGATGATTTTATCGCGATTTAATCTCACGATTAATCGGGTTGGTAAATCGCGGTAAAATCGCTGAAATTGGCGATGTTTAACGAGAAAATCGCGAGTTTTGGTGATTTTTCACTGGAAATCTCGATTTATGTGCCATTTCCACAAAAATCGCCGATTAACCGCCCGATTTAATCGGCAATTTTCTTGAGAATCGCGATTAATCGTCCAAAGTGTGGCGATTTTGAGGACATGGGCTGTAACATGACAAGCAATGTTATTTAAAATTACCTTCTATATCAATTATGATAGAGTAATTTACTAATTATATAATTCAAAGACTATTAATTGAAAGTTCTCTGAAAGACATTGATAAAATGCAAGATACGCGAATGTTGAATTTTAACTGTCATTGATAAGAACTTCGAATGTTTCTTTTTTTTAATCTGAACGTACTCCTAAGAAGATCTTTACAATATTTAGACAAACTGTAGAGTCTAATAATCCAGAAAATATTGAATCAACTTTCATTGTCAAATGCATCTATTTTATGTTTAATGTTCTGCATGAATTGTATGATGCATCAAAAATAAGTTAAAGAATTTACGGCATACTACATAGTTGAATCGCATAGAACAACTGAACTCTTACTTTTTATTAATTTTATAACGAAAGAAAAAATATGAAAATAGATGAACTTGATTCTCTTCATGAATAACATTAATAATCCATGCATGCACGTATTTTTAAAAGAGAAAATTATCTATTATCATATTCATTGAACTAGTCAATGTACTAATAGTTACTGATAATTTAAATCTTAAAAAAAGAACAATATTTCTTCTGTCGATCTGCATTAACACTGATTTCTTACTTTAACTTCATTTTATTCCTAGTATCATACATCTTTCTGATCATTAATCATTTGAAGATCTAGGTATGGATTCCATTGAATAACTCAACAAACCATTCCCTACTCACTAACAAGTCATCGTTGACTGTTTCTTCGAATAGTCGAAGTGAAACGAAAAACTTCGGTTAAAACATGTTGTTTTTTGCTCAAGAAAACACAATGAGAAAATGCGCTATGAAAAAGAATTTCATTGATAAATACATTATACGAATTCAAACGCAGTTTTGATCATCAACTATTTCTCTGAGCACCCCTCATACACTTACTAGTATATCTCTAACTGACTCATAAATATTACTGACCTTGCGACTTTACTCGCGGACTTTCCTCGGGTTGAACGAATGGGCTTGGCAATGGAACTGGCTCAAGAAGATCGAACGGTGGCTTCAATTCTTTGAGTTGTACAATATGAAGTCCATTGCCGGAATCGAGACAAGATATGACTTGAAATTGTCTGGCGGGTAATAAAAGCATTTCATCTTCACCAGTCACGAATGAATGTTTTTTAATGTTCTTTGCTGTAGTACACTCTATTTGAAATAGAGTTCTGTCTCCAGTTTTGCCGAAGAATAGTTCATTTTCTAACACTTCGACCGATGATGTGCATGATGAAAATCCCCACCAAATAACAATCTTGTCTTTTGAATATTCAGTGCACAAATTTTCTTTGACTCCTCGAAAAACAAAACGATATTTTGATGGAAGACGAGAAAGCGCCGTCAATACGAGTCGAAGATAGAGAAACCATGGGATTAAATTTTTTCTTTGTTCGGACCGTAAAGTTTCGTTAAGCTTAACGTATAGGGAGTCTTCATGTGGTATTGATTCATAGGTGTAAATCATAATTGAAGCCGATTCATCAATTGTTAAACCATCTTCTGGCTGTTGGCAGTTCTGTTTGACTATGAATACATTTCGCTCGACTTTAGGTACAATATTGATAAGAGGTTTCACAGCTTCTTCGAGCGTTACAAGTGGCGCCTTTTCATAGCCTTCTATTGGTGCCAACATTCTTTTTGGTAATGTACCCACATCAGCAAAGCGTAAAGCAGAAATTTTTTCTTTACTAGTGCTGTAAGCCATTTGAAAATTTTATATCTAGAATAAAACATTTAGGATATCGTTCGAATTCCGTAAATTAGGCATGAGAAAACATTGTTCCACGATACGCTATTCAGTACATCAAGTTATTCATGATTAAAGTATACAAAAAGCGTGAAGACAAGCTTTCACTCTTGCAGCAAGTGATCTATAATCAGCGTTTTATTGAATGTTTCAGGGCAAATGAATCTTACACGAGCCTGAGAATAACTTTCGTCACTTTCCTCAAAGAAATAAAAGCTTGATATCAAAAGACTCTTTGCGTTTCATTCTTTATAACCTTGTATTCAATATTTTAAAACAAAAAGGTTATTAACAAACATATCGAACTGAAGAATAAGATAAAGTTAATCACCATAGTTTGTAATGTAGTATTGTGTTAAAAACTTCTCCGATTAAATCTTAGAAGCAGGGTTGCCAAATCCAAATTTTAAAAATCAGGAGTTTTTTTTCTAAATTCAGGAGTTGATCAGTAGATTTTTTCTAGAAAATCAGGAGAAAAATCAGGAAGTTTTTTTTCGAAGAATCAGGAGAGAATCAGAAGTCTTCCTAAAAATTCGGAGAAAAATCAGAAAACTTTTGAAATCAGGTTAAACAGAAGAGTGTCAGACAGCTTTCTCTTATAGGGATAATACTGTCACTGTTAGTTTACGAACTCTTGTGACGTTTCTCTATCAAATGAGTAGGAAAAGAATTATCTCGCAAGTGAAATAAAGAAAAGAGACAGGTAATCATGAATATGTCTGTCTCGATACCTCGAATTGAAAACCTTGAAACAAAAAATCTCGAATAAATCTATGTATGTATACCTGCCTCCTTTGTTCATAATATAATATCGGGTCCATTGTTTCGGCCGCTGAAACAGTCAAGAATAGATCAAAAAGACGCTGAAAAGCTACGGAGCCGAGCGGTTTCATAATACTTCGGCACGTTTCTTACACCAGATTCAGGTCGACTCTAGAAAATCGTTGATTTCTTACCAGTCTCGATTGGATCACTCTGGAGCTTGTTAGGTAAAATTTTGACCAGATCTACTACCGGTCGACGTGCTGGAAACCTATCGAAATCGGACGAGCACGGATGAAATGAGCTTTTTCTGTGTTCTGACATCCCACTCCATCTCTTTTTCCTCTTTTCTTTTAAAATTCTTCTATTTAGTGTCTTTTTTTCAGAAAAATCCTCTTTTGTGTTCTCTTTTCTCACGAAAAAGTAGGTTGTTGGTGAAAATATGCATGAATTTGTTGATTAATCTTACTATATCATAGAAAAAGATATCATAACATAAACTGATATGCTTGTCAGTCGAGTTCTATAATTGAGGCTAAAATATATGATTTTATAATGATCATCTTCAACGATGTTATATACCTCTAATTGGGACTCGATTCTAGTAGCTCTATAGCGAAGGTAAAGTCACTCAATTATATTTCAGATGTGAACTCGTCATTCTCTCACGGCTCTGGCAAGTTTTCTAGTTTAGATTGACATGTAAAATCATAATCTCGCACTCACTTTTCTTGGCCGTTTTTCTCGACCCTAGGAAAGCTTATGATGTGAATCTAACAAGGAATGGATAACTCATAGCGTAAGGCATGCGTCAAAGAGAGAAGAAGTTTCCAGGTTGGCTAAATATACCCTAAAATCCTGTCAGATCCGATAGGATTTCTTCGGCAGCATAGCCACCGACAGCATGATGTCATAAGTTGAATATTTCTCTGTATTAAATACCGATAAAATATTTTATGTTGTGTCCGGCAATATTTGATCCTTCAAAATTGCGGGATTGATTACAGCTCCTGTGATATGCTGCTAGCTTACCTTATGCGATTGATTTACTGTCAAAACGAAGCAATTTCACTCTTCCTGTGTTTCTCTGTATACGATCACAGTTTGGACGATCGTATGTCTCCAAATGGTACACAGAGAAATATAATCGTATACGAAGAAATACAGAAAACAAAAACCGTAGACGAGCTTGTCTTCTTCATAAACGATTGTATTTCTGCGCATAAGATCAAGGAATTATACGGTCGCAATACTGAGCCATGTGAAACGCAGTATCTCTCCGATTACGAGCGTGTCTGTTTGACATAGGTAAATATTGACCACGGCTTGATGATACTTGGAAGAAATCGGATATGATGGAATGAGAAAGCAACAAACAGACGCGCCCCGATAATAAAAAAGCAGGGGATGGTACAATCTACCCAATACATATATGTCGTTTTCTACAGAACGCAAGAAGATGAACATTTTCGGCTGTGAAAAATCAAGCGTTTTGGATAGCACAGGATTAAACGATTTCTCACAAACCCGCTGTAGGGCGTCCTTGCAACCAACGTATTAATTTACGCTGGGAAATGAAAAAAAATGAACTGAATTGTGAAAAATCATCAAAATTACAGAAGAGTTGCTGAAATTTGAAAAAAATGAAAAAATTACTGTTTTCATACGCGCAGCCATCCGAAAATATGAACAAAAAGCCAAAACGATATCTAGCGAATTCTGATCGTTTCTATTTCTGTGTGCCTACTTACTCTGACAGAGTAATATCATTGTCAGATACTACGTAAATAGAATAGACTTTTTCCTAATGTTTATCGTTTTCAAATGCATACATAAGCAGTCGCACCATAATCTCTATGGACAATCAGAAGCTTTATTTCTTTTTTACTCTTTCAAGTCATATTCAACCTATACTGATAACATGAGGGTGTTGTCGGATTTATAGTACTATTATGCCAGTGTGTTTTAGTTTTCTTCAGACGAAAACTGTATGCCTCTTTTTCTCCTTTTTTTTTTTATTAAAAATCGTCTTTTTTTTCAAGGATGTTGGGCCTTTTTTCCTCTCTTTTGACAAAATGTAGGTGAGATGCCAGTGTATTTTACCTGCTATTTTAGAATGATCATCGAAGAACATTCGATATTTATTCCTTTAAGATGTTCCTTTCGACAATTCTGATATTCGAGATTTGTCCTTTCTATTTTTTTTTGAGATTTTTTCAAAATTTTGAGACATTTCTATGATTATATGTGCTTTATTCCACTGGTATTTTCAGATGTGTAAATTTACCGACATAAAGAAAGTAGACGCGAATATTTTATAAGCATATGACAAGAACCAAAAAGCAAAACAAATCGAAGATGGCATAAAAAATATTTACGATTCTGTCCGCATGACTTTTGCAACATGCCTACATTTTTCTGTCGAGAAAAATTCGCGTTGACAATTCTTGATTGTTTCAAAAATAATTACGCAACACTGTATAATCGAAATGACTATTCATTCTAATTCTCAATTCTGCATCAACAGAATGATTTATGGTTCGATTTCTATTATCATTTTATAAAAATTTCAGATGAATGAAAATTCACTCTCAACAAACATTGGAGACAGATACAACAAAGAAGATAACGGGGCTGATTTTTATGCATTAAGCATATTTTCACTACCATGAAGATAAACTAGGAAAGGATCACCTCTACGTTTAAGTGCTCTTTCTCTTCTATCCATTGTTTACTGATTCAAAATGTCGTTAAAAACGAAGCCAACCAAAAATTGAAAATCAGTAGAAATCAGGAGAAAATTCTCAAAATCAGTTCCTGAATTCAGGAGAATTTTTATCAGAAGAAAAGTTTGAAAATCAGGAAACTCCTGGTCAAATCAGGAGGTTTGGCAATCCTGCTTAGAAGTTAATGCAGATATTCGCATGTAACTGTATAAAGACCGAACAATTTCATTGTGAGTTCCTATAGGCTTAGTAGCCTTCTTTGAAATACTACTTTGAAAATTTTCCTTACAAACTAAATCCAAATCACACCAACATAAAGAGTAAGAATTTAAATTCATCATGACGGCTTCAAATCTTTCATGAAACTAAACGCTTTTAAATCTAATTTGAGGTTGATTTGCTATGAAAGTTTTGAAAGTAGTATTTCAACGAAGGCCATCAAATTAATAGGAACTCATGGGAGAACTTTATTGGTCTTCATGCACTTATATACGGATATATGCGATTGGTTTTTCCATTGAATTGAAACGTTCCTTAATTCAGTCATTGTGTACATACCAAAATTAGTCATAAAATATATCAAATTAAAATTTGTCAATCTATTTTTAAACAACAACTACTTTATAAATTATGGTAACTGACTTTATACTATTCTTCAGTTTGATATGTTTCTCAATAATAACTTTTGAGTTTAAAATATTTTATAAAAGGTTATAAAGAATCGCACGAAGAATCCTTTAATATCAATTTTCATTTTGATTGATAAAAATGAAAAAGGTCACTGGCAGAATTATGTGTAAGATTTATTTTGCGTGAAACACCCAATCATACATTCATTTCATCATTCATAGTGGGTATTGAAATTTTAAATGAACCCCTCGGACTCTCATTTTTCGATAAGTCATTAAAAACATGGAGTTTCAGCTAGCCAAACGTTTTTTACCGAGGGGATCAAAATAAAAAGGATTTTTTTTTAAATAGATGCCTTATTCTTGAGTCGTCGAAATCTTTCGAAGAAACGCGGAGGACGAGATTCAAACATGGATACTTACGATTAATGTTCGTCGAGCATCTATGAAATTTATCTTTACAATTCCTAGAAGGATAGTACTTTCAAGATTGTTATTTTAAAATTTTCAAAAATTAAAAAAAAAACTTTTTAATCGAATAAAAACACCTTTTGTGTGTCTCTAACTACAGAAAAGGCATTTTGGAAGTTTCAGATGCCATATAAGGAATATAAAATCAATATTAAAAAAACTTTCAAACATTCAAAACGCAAAATTCGTTATGACTGTGTCTTTCGTCAAAAAGCGCTTATAGATTCCGAATCTTATTTGTCCTTTTTCATCAGTTAATGTGAAATATTTTTTAGTAAATTATTAAATTAAAGAAAATATATGTCAAAAATAAATCACCCTACTAAGGTAGTTAAATCACATTTTGAAGAAATTTCACGAAATCAAAAAT